GTAAGATATTTTTTCAATCTACTTTAAATAAATATTTAAAAAAAAAAACACACAAACAAAACTAAAGCTTCCCAATGTCACTATTTGACATGCGATCTGAAACTGGCTCAGAACTTCTTGCCACAGAAATCTAGCTGGAGATTGGCTTTAAAACTCTACTGTAAGGAACATGACACAATGATATAACCAGATGTGACATTTCAATTTCACAATCATGTACCATGCAGGTGGCCGCTTCTGCTTTCTGAGAACTGATATTTACTCATCTGTAGAAAAGGCACTTACTGTAGTGATGTACAGCAAAGGATGATTCCTTTCGCCTGATTTTCTCACTACTGTGCAACTCAGCATATTAACAATTATGTTACTTCTAAAGACATTCAGATTCTCATTTTCACTCAAAGATGCGGAATCTTATCAAGCATACTCTAGAAAAAGGCACCTTTTTAAAGTAGCCAACATGGGGGAAGGGAGTAATTATAACAAATCAAAATCAACAGTCAACTATAAACTAGAGACAGTCTTCGGGGGTAAGGAGGGGAAGAGGAAACTGGATCAAAACAAGGGTGGGAAGAGCACAGGGACTATATGGTACATGGGTGAACTGGTGGTGGGAACTCTTTGGGGACCACATACTCCATGATACAGCACAGCATACGCTGCATAAAAATGAAGAATGATGTGTGTGTGTGTGTGTGTGTGTGTGTGTTGTATATATATATATAGAATATATATATATATATAAAATATATATATATATTTATAAATAAATAAAAAATTATAAAAAAAAAGTAGCACCTGATAAGCTACTTGCTCAGAACTGCTTGTTCATGTACACAAGTTGGTTGTAGTAATCACTGTCACCTTCCCTGTGCAAGAGGGCTCAATGGCAGCACAGGCATGGGTTCAGTTGTTCTAGTATCATGGACTCATGGCAGACCTTCCTTAACTCCAAACTTCTTTTGAAGGTAATAAAAACCCTTTATGATAGTCAAAAGAGATGAAAAGTCTGGGGGCTTTAGGGCTTCATTACTCTGATTCCAGAGTAAGTGAGACAGTAGCTGTTGAGGACTACTGCAATTAATGTGGGCCCACATCCTCCCCTCGACCTTGCAGCACGCTGCATGCCAGGATCTCAGGCTCCATTGCATGATGTGCTGAAGCTGGGGCCTGTAATTGGAGAGACCTGGGGTCAAACTCTCTGTGCTCTGATTACTGGTGATGTGACCTGGGAGAGTTTGGTAGCCTCTCTGAGCCTCCCTTTCCTTGTCTATAGATGTGAATGACAATATAAGCAGGGCTGTTGTACTGAATCAGCTTTGCACAGTCAGAACTCAGTCAATACGGCCTAGATCATTATCATTCTTGTCACCACAGGTACTATCTTGGTCACCTGCCTGCACTCTGGTCTTATTTATGAATGATGTATAATGTCAAGGCCTACGAGACTAGAGAGCAAGATAGGAATTGATCAATTTTGGGGTATGTATGAGTTTAGACAGATACCTAACTTCTATAAACTGCTGAAAAGCCTTCCTGTCACCAAAACATGGTAACCCTGTTGTTTTAGATTAGACATTTATTTGAACTGGTGAACCCAAATTATAGAATGACCAAAAAAAAAAAAAAAATGGCAACAAGAACAGAGTTATTCAAGTCATGTCCAGTAGGACTTTTTCTCAATAAACAGGATTTCTTTTAAACTTACAGAATTACTGTGAACACAGGAAACACACATTACTGTATGCTAAAGTTTCCTTAAGTGTGAACCCTCTTCTTTTCATTTTACTTTTGGAGATCTATTTAGTTATGCATATAGAACTGGGGTACAGACCAGAGGTGCAGGGATGGTGAGAGGATTCACCAGCGACAGAGTGGGGAGCAGAACAAGCAGATTGATGAAGTACACTGCTGAGGGGAGCAGTGGGAGGGTCAGGAGAGGTCTACCATACCATGTGGGTCAGTTAGGGATCCTAGGATTCAACTTGCATTGAAGTGGCTGCTGATAGCTTCATAGTGCTGAGACTTAACCCATTGTGCCACCAGGGAGGGCCAGTGAACCATTTTGTAATCTTGTCCACGTGGTGAAATTGATTAAACCAGTTCTTCACAATTAAAGTTGGGGTACAGAGCCCCCTTCCAGCTCGCCTCAGCCTTGGCATGGAGCCATGTGAATTGCTACACTTTGCCATTCACAGCTGCAAGGGTATCATGCTGAGCTCCCCACATTCACTCTGCTTCTGTGACTCCTAGGACTCAGGCTCATTTTTAAATTAACTTTTATCTGTTAAGTAATGAGCACGTCAGCTTTTTAATATCACAGAAGTTTCATCTAGCAACCTTTCCTTTTTTATTACTAGAATTAGCTCCTCCTCCCCCCACCCCCTCCACGATGTAATAAAACAAAACCTACCCGAAGCAGTACACAACTCAGGATTTCATTATATCCTGCTTGATGGGGAATACTATTTAGACAGAGATGAGTAGTATGCCCTCAAGATTATTTCATATGAGGAAAATGTAGTTTTATATAGCAAAATAGATCTTTTCCTACTTGATGGGAAACTAGCTGAGTCAACGTCTCTGTGGAAGTCAGGACATTTCCTGGGACTTTGCAATGCTGTGAGTGGCTGTATACCTGCCTGTGGGCTTACACAATATAGCGACGTCCAGGTTGTATTGCTACACATCACCGGGCCCAAGTTAGGGGGCTCTGCTAAAGATAACTTGAAGCCATTAAGACAATCAGCTCCAATTTGAAGGAAAAAATGACATCTGCCTACAGGTTTGAAGGAAAACTGACACCTGCTCAGAGGTTACAGTTTTGTTGAATTACTTTATCTCAGAAAAAATATTAAAGTGTTATGATTCTGAGTTTCCAATCTCTTCAAATTTAGCCACCACATTCTCCAAAAAAGGAATTTCTCTAAGTCACCCTTCAAATTCTGTTTATTTTAAGGTTAGTTCTTCATAATATAAAGATTAGAGATCTGTAAAACTTATTTTATTCACAGAGATCCTGAAAGAATTTTGAAAATCTCTGTTTACTTGTATGAGGTTGACACTAACTTTATCTTTACAAACTTTAAAACTGACTCTTGAGAACTGATCATAGATCTGAGGCAATAGGAGGGGAGAAGGGAGGCAGGTAGGTAGAGAGGAGTGAAGCAGGCTTGGGGAGGAGGGCCCAATGGACTGTGATGGAGGACTAGGGGTGGTGGAATGCTATGGTGACCATATCTGAAGGGAGAAATCTTGTTTTGTGAAAAAACAAACAAAGTTGTAAAATAATGGTATGTCAGTAATAAAATAAAAATAGGTTTTTATTATACCTGAAAATACTTACAAAGAATATAATTTCTGGCATATTGTAAGTATTGATACTTGAAAATATCCCTATTGTATTGAGTTATTTAAATTCTTGTAACTGAATAGTTATTTGCTACTTTCAATCATTCTTTAAAATAGTGGGCAAGTTTCTTTTTGCTGTTGGAAACTTCACATGTTCCTCTCCTTCTCTTCAAACTTGTATTACTCATTTCTTACAGAAATATAGGCATATCTATAGATAAAGGTTTATTTATGCATACAGAACTGGGATACAAACCAGAGGTGCAGGGGCAATGAGAGGCTTCACCAGAGACAGAGTGGGGAGCAGAACAGGCAGATCAATGAAGTACACTGCTGAGCGGAGCAGTGACAGAGGTCTGCCACATCATGTTGGTCACCTCCTGGACCGGGGATCAAACTTGCACTGAAGCGGCTACAGCTAGGTTGCAGTGCTGCGTCCTTACCCACTGCGCCACCAGGGAGATCCCGACTAGTATATTTTTTATACTGGAGAGCATTTAACCCTATGATATCTCTTTGTAGAAAACTGCATATAAATTTAAATTACTTTTACTTATCCATGATGTTAATACTTTAGATATTAAAAATTTACTTTAAGTGAGCACTGCAAATCCTAATGCATAATTGTCTCAAAAACATAAATATATTATAAATGCATTATAAACTTCAGTAAATAATTAATCAATTATTTAGGTCATCAAAAATATTTAGATCATCAAAATGAAGTCTTTAATGACCAATCACTTGCCATGTAGACTAGGACTTCCAATTTTATTGAAAGATAAAACTTGGAAAGCTCTTTAGATGCAAAGGGCACATTACCCAGGCATTAGAATCTTCTATTTTGTCAACACCAACACCAGCATGGTGTTAAAATGTTCTGCATCCTAGCAATGTGTGATGTAGTAACATTTGGTGGAAAAGAAGGATGATTTCTTTTATAAAATGGGAGTATGTGATTAAGAAAGAACAAGATATGGTTAGATAAAGGTTTTCTCGGAAGATAAATTTTAGGCAAATACACATGTGAATGTCGAGACATTTATTTTCCTCAAATTATCATGTTTGTGTGCCCATCTGAGAATTTTTGTGTTCTCCTAGCTGTATGTTTGTCTATCTTTAGCGCTGCTGGACTAAACTCCTTAACCTATGAGAGTTTTTGAACCATTATTTAATGAAAAAGAAAATGAGGGAGAATTGGGGACGTGGGCAGAGAGTGAAAGAGAAAGGGAAATTTTCAGAGATGAGCTTTATCTTCAGACTCAACAAATCCATCAGACTCAACAGTCTTATTCAGGCTAACAGAATAATGCACTTCAAATGAGCACAGGTCACATTGTCTCAATAACCAATGAGTTGCATATAAATCTCTAGCAAATCTCCTTACTCTTTCCTTGTTCTCATGAGATTTCCAACCATTTATTCAGAGGACTTTTTAGCAAGTTTTGTGATATTTTTCCAATACAGGCCACAAAAGAATGACAGACACCATGTTTCTGTTTTGAGATTCAAGAAATCTGGATGAAAAAGAATATGAGCTCTTTTAAAGTACTTACCCTGAGGGTGTGGGTTAAATCCAAAGCCCTTGAAGAATGGTAAAAGGGAATTAGAGGGTACAAGAAAGTTATTTCAAAAAGCAATCAACTTACAATGAGTGGACCCCGGTTGTTTTCTCGGTACTTGTTCTGGAAAAAAATGTAAACGACAGTGGCAGCCAAGGAGTAGAGGAAGGCGAAGACCGCAACGGTGACGAAGAACTCTGCTGATGAAGAGGAGTCACCAATCAGGGCCAGCTTCTGTCGCTCCTTCCCCTCACAGGTAGGCACCTCAAACGTCACCTGGTGCAACCTAAAGTGCCAGATTTAAGGAGACATTCTTTAAAGTCTTATGGAGACAAAATAAGGCATGATGTGTCTATACGTGTTAAAGCAGTGAGGTGATTCCAGGGCTTCATGGCATGTGCATGGGACAAGTTCATTAATAAAATTGCAGTGATAGCTGAAATGTGGAAGTACATACTGTAGTTAAACCTCATTCCATTGAGTTTCACAACTGCTTAGTCTTGTTAGAGAGAGAGAAGCAGGGAAGGGGGAAGGGATCCTGGAATGATGGGAATTTCGACTATGCTGGCCTCTTGTTTAGTCTCCAGGGCTTTCTCACTGTATGAGGACTCAACCAACAACTTTATTGATCCACCGGGCTTTACGTCAGATCCATATGTCAATGTCTTGGCTTAGGGTCTTTTCATTGACTGTTTCCTTTTCCTAAATCGCTCTGCCCCCTGACATTTCCCATGATGGCTGCTTAACATTCAGGTGTCAGCTTAAATGTCATTGCTTGAGAGATCCTATTCCTGCTCATTGATCTAAAAATATTTTAGATGTTTTCCTTTGATGTTCCTAGTACATCACCCTGCTTGATGTCATTTGGGGACATCACCAGCCACACTGTCTTGGTTAAGTATTTAATAACTTGTTTTTGTCCAGTCTCTTTTGCTTCATCGGTGACTGTGAGAATCTTCATTTTCTTCTCTGTACGTCCTAGCTGTTAAATACTTGTTGGGTATTCAGTAGCTAGGACTTGGACATCTGACTGAACATACTTGATTCTATAAGATGACTGATGAATCCTAATTTACTTTAACTTCTAGAAGTTTCATTTTAGAGATAAGTCCTATAGTGGCAGCCTCCAGGCTATGTATATTACTTAATAGAGAAAAGAAGTAGGGGATCCACTTTTTGCTCAGAAACACAAACGACTGTGTTTCAGCCAGTACTGCATATCATGTTGTGAACTTGGTGGTAAACCATATTTTAATATAGAAGCCTAAATTCTACTTTTTCAGGAAAGACTAAATTATGCCTTAAGTACCAGAGAGGCATTCTGAAATAGAAATGAATGAGGCTTAGCAATGTCGATGAAATACCACCGTATGCTTAGGAAGTATTTTCCACACTAAGTAAAACTTTACTCTTTGAAACAAATTTACAGATTTGCAGATTTGTCATGTACACTGTCTTACAGCTCTGGTAATGATGATAATGATAAAATAATAGCAACTAATATATTGAAGCATTTCCAGTGTGCCAGATATTGTTATATATATATAGTTTAATCCCTGTGATAACCTTATAATGCAATCATGTTCTTTCCCACCCCCATTTACACAGGAGAAAACAAACTTAGAAAGGTTAAGTTATTTGTCTTGTCATGTAGCTAATAAATTCTAGGCCAGAAATTTAAATGTGTGTCTGACTCCAGATCCTTATTTTAGAACTTCAATTAAGTTAGCCTGTTCCTGTTAAATAAATAGAATATTAACCAGGATGAATGTTTGTGAAATGAAGTTCATGGACCACTAGCATCAGAACCACTAAGAGACTTGTTAGTAACATAGGTCCCAAGACCTTGTTAGACAAGGTTCAAAATCTCTCGTGCAATAACCTGCTTGAAACCCAAAGCTGGAAAGTCCAGCTCCCCTAAGTCCCTTATTTTTCAGAAATACAGTCTGCTTTTGTTATTTACTACTTGACTTAAGAAAGAATTATTGACATAGTCAATAATTTTTTTTTCTGTGTATAGAGAAACTCCTTTTGTTTCTTATCAAAGTGTACAACTGTAGTAAGATTCAGGAAAATAGAAGCATTGTTTCATCACATCCCCTTGCAGAGATATTAAACTATTTCTCAACAGTTTGGTTTGTAGGACTGGTGACAATAAAATAGATTATAAAAGCATTCGTGTCAGTTATTTGGATACAGATAATTTTCAGATAATGTACATCCTTTATGCATTATTTTGTAATGTATGATTGATGTAGAAAATTGTGAACAAGCAACTCCACAGCTCACACAATGGCTACATGCTGGTATGGGGAACAGGAGAACTGGGGTGGGCCTGCCCATATTATATACCAAGTTTAGAGGGCTTATTGAGAAGTGGCCTGAGCTAATCTGAGGGTGATGTGGTTAAAGTAAGATTCCCTCTATGAGTGATTTTAAAGATGTAGCTTGAAAAATGATTAGAAATTATTTAGAAGGAAGAAAACACAATGAAATATGACTTTATACCCACTAGGAGGGGTACAATAAAAATATCTTAAGATTGGAAGAACGATCTTGGTGAGGTTAGACTGTGGTAACAAGTTGAGATTATAATAAGAAGCTCCAATTAGAAACACTGGAAATTTTGTACATTGCTTGTTGAGAATGTAAAATAATACAACCACTTTAGAAAACAGTCTTGTCAGTTCTTCAAATAGCTAATCACAGTTCTATCATGATCTGGCAAGTACATGCCTAAATATATATTGAAGAGAAATGATGACATGTTTCTGCCCCAAACTTGTACAAGAATGTTTACAGCAGTGTTACTCATAACAGCCAACAGTGGGAATAACAGGGATGTCTTTCAACTGGTGAACAATAAATAAAAGGAAGTACAGCCTTCTGCTGAAATATTATTTGTGGACAAAAAGACACCAATACCTACAGCAACATGATGAACTTTGAAAACATGTAGGTGAAAGAAGTCACTCACAAAGGACTACACATCATGTCATTTCACTCCTATGAAATGTCTCAATTTTGCAAACCAGTGCAGACAAACAGTAGGTTAGTATTTGCTTAGGGCTGGGTAGGAGTGGGAGATGGTAAGGGGTACAGAATTCTTTGTGGTCAAATAAAATTTTCTAGAACGAATTTTGCTGATGGGGCACAACTCTTAATATACCAAAAGCCAGGAAATCGTACATTCTAAATGAATGCATCGCATGGTATGTGAAATGTGACTCAACAGCAAAACTGTTGGAAGAGATAGGAAAGAGATAATACCAAGACCCTACATAGGAAAGAAGCACAGCACCTGTGGGAAATGGAACTTAGCTTGGGAAGCTGGAAATGGTAATATAGGTGAAGAGTCCGGATGTGCTGGAGAAGTGGTCAGGACCCCTCCCCCCCGTGGTATCTTATGGGCCAGTTTATAGACAGACTTTGGAAAGATTTTCATATAAAATGCAACAAGTAAAGCAAAAAATAACAGGGAGTATCATGGTTCTGCTGTGACTATTTAACAAGTTACACGCTCACTTTCCAGGTACCTGGATACACCTCAGGTTCCATCATGCTTCCCCCACTTCAGCTCCTCAACTAATGTGCACAGGACTTGTCTGCAGTCTTGTCAGGAAGTGGGCCAAGGGGGGGCGGGGGTGGAATTACATAACAAGTTTATTTCTGTGTACTCGACTAACTATCAGTCATTTCCCCCATTGCTAACATGCTAATTAATGCTACATTATTTTACATATATATATATCTACATATATATATAAAACAGATTCTTCAAAGCAATAGTTACATACATATGCATGAATGTATCTTTTATTTTTGAAGGTGAGAAGTCACATAGTCAGCATGTATTTAGCATCTGTTCAATAAAAGCTGGAAAAACTGGATGGACAGAGTATGGTCAGTGTGGAAGCTGAGTCTGGCCACTCTGATCCCGTGAGGGTCTAGTCAGGGAGCAACTGCTGAGCCCACAAAGGGGCCAAATCCAATCTGTTGATTTCAACTGTATAATTTCCTTCTTGGCTGACCTGACTCAATCAATGGGTAATTGAATTTCACTGAGTTGTACTGCATGGTGTCTATCAACAGAAATTCTCCATGTTAGAGGGTGATTATGTAATTGTTTACTTCGGTAATAATACTTAAATCCAACCTTTTGAGCATTATTCTGATGCTTCATGTAAACTGAGGGAACCGCTGGGTCCAGGTTTTCCAGTTCTGTTTGTAAGGCCTGGGAAAATACTAAGCAAGTGGTCTTGCTTTATTAATAAAAACACTGAAGAGAGTAATCATCAACAGTGAGGCTTGGAGTAGAGTGAGTCACCTGTGGCCACTGGTTAGTGGAAGGCAGGGCTAAGTCTGGCATGATATGCATTGAAGGACAAACCCCCACTCACAACTACTGTACATTTCTGCCTCTCTGGTTTAAAAACTACAGCATCCTTAGATTTCAATTTGAATGCTTGTATAAAAACGATCAAGTCAGCTTTCCCAGGCCAAACAACCTCATGGCACACTGATAGTTTATACTGAATGTGATTCTAAACCAACATTCATTATGCTTCCACCTGGTGGTCTATGTCTATAAATGGCACAGTTCAATCCCCACAGCCCACTCAAGAGGAAACCATTAAAAGCATATTAGTTTTTAAATTTTGTCCAGATTTATTCTAAATTTGCCTCAGAAGCAAGTATCCATAGGAGGCAAATGAGCCTATTGTATGATGTGTTGAAATTGAGATCAACACAGGTGTGTGTTCTTTGAAGGAGCGCCCTGGTTTTCGTAGGCAGCAAGTGCCCTGATGTGCATCTGGTATTAAGACTTTTGCAATGTGTCTGTCTTTCACCAGGAGTAGAAGAGAATAGAACTAAAGTCCCTAACACTATATCTGGGGGTGACCTGGTCCAGGATAGTAATGACATGTCCCATGGGTGGTGATGCTGCCCAGGAGCAAACGTGGGAGGCATTAAGGGAGTAGGTGGACAAGCTGCTGTCACTGAATTTCCGTAGTGGAAATTAAAGTGATGGAGAGGAGACCAGAGGGCAGCTGGCAATTGTGGCAGTGAGAACATTTCTCTTTCTTGGGTCATTTTCTATAGGCCCTATTTCAATCCTTTTTACCAGTTGAAAGAGATATTAATCCTCTTGCTTCATTTTTTTCTCAGTATGAAATATTGGCCTTTGTTTCATTTCAAATCAACTTTTCTTTTATTAGTCATATCTGTATACTTTTATAAAATGCATGTGTATACAATTACACCCTCAGTCTGTGTGACTCACAA